AGCACATTCGTGTGTGTGCACAGGACACAGGCCGACGCACCCACCCTGTCCGGCCTTCGCTGCGTGGGCGGGGCTGGGGGGGAAGCACGAGGCATGTCGCTTCCCCTCTGTCAGCAGAGAAGCTCTGCTCTTTGTGACCGCCCTGCCAGGAAGGTGCTGGAGGGGGGCCATGACCAGGAACCAGAGCTGAGGCATGAACAGGATTCCTGAGCTAGCAAGCGGCAGACCTGGACATGGGCCCACGAGCAGGCTGGAGCAAAGTCCCTTGGCAGAGCGCCTTTCTAGAAATGGGTTAGCCACTCTGCTCATTCCCCCGAGGTGGAGACGAGGTGTCTCACTGCCCTTTCTCCTTGCTGGCCAGGCAGACCTCTGACCACAAAGTAACTCAAAATGCCTGTTAGTGTCCAGGCAGGCTGGGAGTGTCCTGGGCCACCCAGGCAGGAAGGCTCCCAGGGCTCCCAGTGTGGTGGTGGGTCCTGCCGACAGCCACCTGCGCAGGGGCCCTCGTCCTTTCCCTGTTGCTCTTATAGAAATGTATGGCTGGGGTCCCCGGGGACACCTCTGCCATGGAGGTTCAGTTGGACTCCAGGGGTGGCCGGAGCATCCAGCGTTGGGATGTCCTGGCAGGAAGGTGACTGCACAGCATGCCTGAGCTTGTGAGTGTGTCTGGCAGAGACCCCTCGTCACTCCAACCCTTTCTCAGTGTGTACTTTGGGGGGGCATCCAGGAGCCCTTTGCAGATCCCCCAGCAGCCCACCAGGGACATTCCATAATAGATGCTGAATGAACCAATGAGCGAGTGAAGTGATTGGGGCCAAATACACTCGAGGCTTGAACAGCGTGGAGGTTATGGGCGCCGACCTCCCTCCCCGTTGAAAATCTGCGTGTAAGTTGTGACCCCACCCAAAATTTAACTACTGTTAAATAGACTGTTGTTGACCAGAAGCCTTACTGATCACGTGACCACTCAGTTAACACGTTTTGTAAGTTGGGTGTGTTATATGTTACGTTCTCACGATGGAGTTAGCTATAGAAAAGAAAACGTTGGGGCGCCTGGGCGGCTCAGTCAGTTAAGCGACTGCCTTCGGCTCAGGTCATGATCCTGGAGTCCCTGGATCGAGTCCCGCATCGGGCTCCCTGCTCGGCGGGGAGTCTGCTTCTGCCTCTGACCCTCCCCCCTCTCATGTGTTCTCTCTCTCTCATTCTCTCTGTCTCAAATAAATAAATAAAATCTTTAAAAAAAAAAGAAAAAGAAAATGTTTAAGAAAATCATTAGAGGGGCGCCTGGATGGCTCAGTCGGTTAAGCGTCTGATTCCTGGTTTCGGCTCGGGTCACGATCTCAGGGTCGTGGGATCGAGCTCCGTGTCAGGTCTCTCTGCCCCTCCCCCTGCTCACACACATGCACGTGCGCACACATTCTCTCTCTAGAATAAGTAAATAAACAAAATTCGAGAAGAGGAAATCAGGAAGAGAACACGTTCATGGTGCTGTCCCGTGTCCAGCGAACCCCCCGTGTAAGTGGGCACGTGCAGCTCTGCTGCTCAAGGGTCCGCAGGAAGGGTCTGAGCCCACGAAAGCTGCCGAGGGAATAAAAGGCACAAGCTCCGCCTGGAGCCGCAGAGCTGGAGCCAATCTGGGGATCTCATCTGCAGGCCCAGGGGTCAGAGCCGGTCATCGCTCACGTTGTGGGATCGTGTCCTGGCTCGGGAACGTGGCCCTGGAGCGTGGGGTGGTGGGGCGCCTCTGTGCACCCTGAGGCTCTCCGGGGCCCCCACGTCTCGGGACCGGTGTGAGCCGGAGGACAGGAGGCAGGCTGCCCCCGGCCTTGCTCCTGTTTTCGTTCCCAGGGTGGGGTAACCACGAGGAAAAGCAACTCCCTTCCCCTCCCCGAGTAAACAGACCCCTGCTGGAGTATTCGGGTGTTGGGCTCTCAGCTCCCTCCATGCAGAGCCCCTGAAAAGACAGCAAAATCCCCGCACTTCTGGGACCCGGTTCAGGGAGGAGCCCTTCTCCTCCGTGTGATGCTCTGGCCTCCCTGGGCTCCGGGGCCCCTCCTAGGGCCTGGTTAGCGGAGCCGGTGATGGGGCGGGTATAGACGGGGCTCCCCAGCACGGGCTGTGTGGGAAGGGCAGACGAGCCCCGTGCCAGGCCTTGGACTGCCGGGGTTCTAGGACGTCCAGCGACTGGGAGGCCGGTGGGTGACTGTCCACCTTGTGTCCGCCTCAGGCTTCCGTAGGAGGCCTGCTTTTCAGGCCGGGGAGCAGGTGTCTGCACAGAGCCGCAAGGCAGAGGGCAGTTCTGCCTCTAGCCCTGCGTGTGGGGGAGACAGCAGCTGCTGCGTGGCCAGGCCTGGCGTCCTGGCCACCTGCCCTGCCCAGGTGCCTGAGTGGCACCCCAGTGCCCGTCCACCCTGCCCACTCACTCCCTCATTCCTTGTGCTGAGGGAGCGAAACCCGGCGGCTGTCCCCGCCGGCCATTGGGTGGGTGTGGGCGGGCTGCCCCGGTGATCCCCTCGCTTGGCCTGGGTGGCTCCTGGCCTGTTTCCTGCTGTCAGTATGTTAATGGGGCTCGAAGGATGAGCTTGGACAGAGTGTGCTCTTCTGGCCAGGAGGCTGGGGGTGCCACCCGGGAGCCAGGGGGGGCCGTGGGCCTGGGCAGGCGGGTGTGTTTTGAGCTAGGGCAGTGTCCCACACCTGGGCCCAGCCCCCCAGTGAGAAACAGGCTTTATGCTGAAACTCTGTGCACACACACGTGAGCACGTGGTCTCCCCACCTGCAGGCATCGGGGACACGGGGCTAAGGCCCCATCCCACCCTGACTCCGTCACAGAACACACACAGGGGCGCCTGGGGGGCTCCGTCGGTGAAGCGACTGCCTTCGGCTCAGGTCATGATCTCGGGGTCCTGGGATCGAGCCCCGCGTCGGGCTCCCTGTTCGGGGGAGCCTGCTTCTCCCTCTCCCACTGCACCCCCCCCCCCGTTAATGCTCTCTGTTTCTGTCTTTTTCTCTCTCAAGAATAAATAAAAATCTTTAAAAAAGAAAAAGAGAACACGTGAACCCTCAGTGCCCCCGAGGTCTGCAGGCAGCTTGAGCCCCCATAGGCCTTGTGTTCACCCCTGGCTGGTGACCCCCCAAACCTGGCTTCCTACTCAGAATCCTCCCTGTCTGCCTGACCCTGCTGCCTGTTGGGGCATCCCGATTCCAGTTTCCAGGCCCTCCCCGGCTCTGGTGTGTCCAGATTCCTGGGTCCCCAGACCAGCCGCCTGCCTCCCCCTCGGCCCCACGTGCCCCATCTGTCCCCACATCATGGCACCATGTGTATGGGGCACACAGGCCCAGCCCCTTCTCCCAAGGGCGCCACTTCTTAGATCCCAGAGCAGCTCCAACAGGGGGCCCCGCATCTGTTGGCGCCCCCGATGAGAGCCTAACCGAGCAGCCTGAGGGGTCCCTTTGGAATGTCGTTGGACCACATGGCTCTGCTTAGACCCTCCCTCGGCTTCCCATCAGGCCTCGGAGAGCAGGGCCTTCCCCACACAGTCTGTGAGGCGGTGAGGCTGTGGGGCCATGGGCTGACCTGTTCCCTCCTCCTCACCGACCTTTCAGCCTGCATGCTGCCGGCTGTCCCTGGTACACCCAGGGGCTGGGCCCTGGGCCTCTGCCCTGCTGCGGCTGCCCGTGGCCCCACTCCCCTGCTTTCCCGTCTGCGTGAGCCCGAGTCCCACTGTTGTGCTCTCTGCCCGCACGGGGTGCTTACTGCCCACTGTGTGGTGTGGGCGTGGTTTTGCTCTTGGGCTGTCAGCCCCACAGGGATGGGACTGTGGCAGGGTCACTGCTGTGTCCCCTGCATCCCTCAGTGCCGGCCCCGCATGGAGCAGAACTACCTTTGCTGCGTCCAGACAGGAAGGCACACCTGCCCTGTTTCCTTTCCTTGTTCCCCACGTGGTGTGGAGCCTGGTGGGCACCCCTTCGACGAGCCTGGGGCCCAGCCCTGTATGTCAGTAGGTGGGAGCTCCGATGCAGGGCCTCATCCCTTGTAAGCGCGGGTCTCTGTCCCTTTGTGCTAACACCCCAGGGTGGGCGGATGGCAGCACGCAGAGCCCTCCCCACTGGCCGAGGGCAAGGACGGGACAGGAAGGGTGTTACTGGGGCTAGAGCTGGGCACAGATCGGGGCTCGGGGGTGAGGATGCCCAGCCTCGGTTCACAGAGGAGCATCTGGGGCAGGGTCAGGCGGTTTCCCCTCTGGCCGCCTGTTCTCTCTTATCCTCAGGAAAGATCAGACAGACGCCCGTTGTAATTGTGGACTTGCACACATAGGATGTGGCCGAGACGGGTTTTCTTTGAAAGTTCCCGCAGCGTCCTTGATGGCCGGGCTGGCTGTCGGCGGGCCGCGCTTGCTGCCCGGTGGAACTTGCGTTCTGCTGGTGTTCGTGCGCCTGTTTTTACACTTTGTAATTAAAACCCTTATTTGGTCTTGGCGGTGAAAATCTAATTTCTTCCGATGCGCAACTGCAGTCCATTGGGCAAACAGACCCGGCCTGCTGGATTATTCATAGCGTGGTGTTTGCAGATCAGGCTGTGGGTCCCGCTAATCAGAGATGATGTTTGGTAATTGATGTGTTGAGTGAAGACTTCCATGGGAGGGGGCCCTGGGCCGCGCCGTGCGGCTGTGTGTGGCCAGCAGGAGGGTTTTCCTCAGCTGACTCAGCTCCCCAGACGGCACTTCTGAGCGCCGATTATACGGCAAGCACGCGGCACACTCTGTATTCTCTTGTTGGATCCGCAAAGCCCCAACGCGCTGCTCCGTCCTTGTCGCCATCGCACGGAGGCCAAAACCGAGGCTCAGGGGGTCTGCCCGAGAGTGGGGCTGGGGTCTGGACTCCAGAAGCCCGACTGCGGCTTCGTGGTCTCCACCTGTGGATTTTCTCCTCCTGTTGGAACACTCCCAGGGTCCCCAGGCCACCTGGGTCACTCATGCCCTTTCTCTTCTTGCTTTTCTCAGACCATCATGGAGCAGTTCAACCCCAGCCTCCGGAACTTCATTGCCATGGGGAAGAACTATGAGAAAGCTCTGGCAGGTAAGGCCGCGGGGTGGGAGCAACGCCCTCGCAGCAGGCGGCCAGCTCGCGGAGCCAGATTAGAATGGAAGGAGGGAGGGTGTGGGGCCGCACCTCGGAGGCCTGGGAGCCCTGGAATCTGCACCCACTGTTGTCCGCGGCCTTGTCCTGGGGTCTGGGCTCAGTCCGCCCGCAGCACCTAAAGACGGGGGGCATGGATGTCTGTCCTGAGAACCTTCGTCTTGAAGCTGCAGGATGGGGCTTGGGGCTGGGGCCTGCACGGCTCCCTGGCAGGTGCGCGCCCCGCACCTCACGGAGAGCCGGGACTCAGGGCGCTGGGGGCACGGGCTCGTTCAGGGAGGGGACGTGCGTACCAGCAAAGGCTGTGGCCGTGGCCGGGCCCTTCCTTCCCAGCGGGGGCGGCTGAGTCACGCTGCGGTCAGGGACGCCCGGTTCTCGGGGGCCCATGCTGGGCTCCCACCCTTGCCTGTGTCCCTCCAGGGTAGATGTCAGGCTGTCGGTCGAGCTGCGGCGCCCAGCAGGGAGGCTCTGTCTGTAGAGCGTACCCCAGCCTCTGACAGCGGCCCTGGCGTGTCCACGGCCCCATGGGGACTGCTCTGGGTGGGCTTCAGGTTAGAGGCAGCAAGGAGAGGGCGGCGCTGGGCAGTCTCCGTGGTCGCCTGGGGACAGAGCACCCGGCGGAACCGGCCTGTTCCTGGACAGCGGCCCTGCTGGTCTGCAGCTGGAGGTGTCTGGCCACAGCCCGCCCACCTGCCATGTCTCGGGGGCAGGGAGGACATCCGGTCATACGCCAGTCTGCCACGTAGCTCTGCACCACGGCCTTGGCCCTTCCCCCAGGGGGTGCGGCTGCACCCTGACCCTTTTGAGGGAGAGTGGTCTTGATGTCACGCACAGATCCAGCCAAGAGTGTGGGCAGGGCTCCTCTGTTCCTCTGTGTTGGGGTCGATGGCACTGACCAGCAGCCCCTGGCCGTCTCCCTGTTTCCACATGGGTGTGGAGGGGAGGGGCCTTGTGCTGCCTTCTGGTTTGGGGGCGCACACCGCGTTCTGCACCCGCAGGCTCTCCCGAGCTGCCCTCCCTCCACCCTGCCCCTGCCTCGCAGCCCTGCACACAGGGACGCTGCCCCGGGAGCCCACCAGTCCCCCGCAAGAGAGGAGGCACAGCTGCTCCTCAGAAGGTTCTGTCCCTTCCTCAAGCTGAAACCCTGCCTGTAGGGTCTTAAAGATAACGGCAGGTCCCAGGCCATGGTGATGATCTGTGCCTGCCAGGAGCTGAGAGCCAGCTCGGCCTCCGGGCGAACGTCCCCTGTCAGGTCTGCTGCCCCGAAACACTCTGCGAGCAGGACGGGCACCCGGTCTGCAGGCTGGTGGAGAGAAGAGGCAAGAGGACGGGGCCTGGGCCTCGGGTCCTCCGAGCAAAGCCCCTCGCCGTGCCCATGGGGCAGGACCGGGCTCTCATCTCTCCCTGGCTGGGGCTGACTTCTGCGCACCACGCACGTGGGGCTTTGCACGTGGTCCCTCTCTGGACCCGCTGTCCGTAGGACTCTTCTCACCCTCACCTGGCTTCCTCATGGGGGGACGTCACCTCACCCCCAGGCAGTCCTGGCTTCCCCTTTGATGTGAGGCCAGGTTTCCTTCCAGGCCTTTCTACACCCACTGCAGATCCCCGTGAGGCTCTCGGGGGGCTGTGTGTGGAGAATCCGGGCTCTTCTGCTGCCCGTTTTCCCGGACTGGCCTGTGGCACCGAGCCCAGCCGGCCACGTTAGCACCATCCCCTCAGCTGCATTTGGCCTCCCCCATGCCACCCTTGTGCCAGGCTTGGCTTTGATCAGCTTTAAGGAGCCCACCCCTCCTGGCAGCCGACGCAGTCCAGCCGGTGGGGGCGCCGAGGGCGCGCTCCTGGGCATGCGCTTCATCGGAAGCCACCTAAATAAAATGTGATGACGTGCCCAGTTAGACGCCCCGGCCTGGGTTCTGGAGGGAGCGGATCAGATGTTGCTGTCCCGTGGCTGGCCCTGTCCTCCCCCCAAGACTGTAGGGTGGGCGGGCCCCCGCGCAGACGAGGTGTTTGCGGGCTCGCCCAGGGTCAGCGGGCACAGGGCTCTTCCCTGGGTGCCAGGTGCACATCGAGTGCGGCCGCAGTGGCCATGGGGCAGGCCCTTGACGTGGCCTCAGCTTGGAGAGGTGAGGGGCACTGTCTGTCTGCAGCTGGCTGGGGGTCTCTGTGCGCACGGCTTCGTGCTGCCTCCTGCCTGGTGGGGTCTCGTCTCATGTACTTGGTGGGCCCTGCCGCCCCTCACCAGATCCGGGCGCTGGTGACAGCACCCAGCAGTTTGCCTCGAAGAGCCCTGGGCCTGACCGGGCACCACGTTCTTGGAAAGAAAAGCAGCTCTCACAATTGCAATGAGAGAAGGACATCAGCCAGAAACGGGGAGCACTCAGCCCAGGCGGGAGGGCCGTGGAGCACCGTGGGGGGCTGGTATGCACCACGACCCCTGTGTGGGTGCCGAGGGTCTCGTCCGTCCATAGGACGGGCAGTAACCGCCCCTCTCTCCTCTCCCAGGTGTGACCTACGCTGCCAAAGGCTATTTTGACGCTCTCGTGAAGATGGGTGAGCTAGCCAGCGAGAGCCAGGGCTCCAAAGAACTCGGTAAGACCCCGACGCAGCGGAGACCCCAGATGGCCGCCGGGCCCTCACGTATGCCCGGGCGGGGCTGGGGTCCTGGCCTGTGTCTGGTCCTACTTCCACTGGGGATCAGGTTCTCGTCAAACAAGAAGCTTTTCTGAGAGACCGTGACCCTCAGAGCTGGCGAGGGCACCCAGCTGCACGTGAGTGCTGCTCAGAGTGCACGCTGGCGGGTCGGCCCCCCGAGAAGCGCAGCGTGGGGTGAGGACATGGGCGGATCTGCTGGCTGGTGTGGGGCGCCGTGTGGAAGCAGGGCTGAGGTGATGGGGAGCATTCCTGGTATTACAGGGAGACGGGACGCCGACTCCTCGCGCAGGGTGACCTGGTTTTGTGAAAGGACACGCGGCGTGCGTGCGTATCACACGATCAGCTGAGGGAAAGGCCCAGGAGCGTAGCAGGTGGAGCTCTTGGGATGGGTCATTCTCTCTCTGCTTTCGCTGTTTTGCAAATTTTGTACTGTGAGTTCACGTCGCTCCTAAGCCAGGCGCACAGAAGGAAGCGGGTAGGTCTCCCTCGTGTGCCCAGAGGCCCTGGGCATGCCGGCAGCTGTGGGGCACCGGGTGACAGATGCAGCTATGGAGACTTCTGGGGCTGGGGGCAACAGGCTGGGCGGAACGCGTGACCAGGGCCAGACCCTGCACGCAGGCTGGGCTCTGCTTACATGGGTGGCGGGCGGGCTTTCCTCCAGCGTCCCAAAGGCTGTGCTCCTCCCTAGCTCTGGAGGGAAGCCGTCTGGCCTCCACGGTCACCGAGCTGACCTGCCTGCCCCTGGCAGAGGCGGGAGGACGTGGAGGGACTGAGGGGTGCTGAGGGGGTGAGGGGTGCAGGCACGGCCTCTCTGGAGATGTGCAGGACACTCAGGCTTCGGAGGCCTGCACTCCTCTGTGACAAGGGGTGCCTATGGACCAGCCGGCCCTGGGGCTCCGAGGCCACACGTGGGCCTGCCCGGTACTGCTGGGCCTCCTGGCTACAGCTCCTGAGGGCACGGTCTGGGTCCCAACCCCCTCGGAGGGGAGTCGGTGTTGTGCATGACCCGCGTGAGTTTGCACACAGGCTCCTATCTGCGAAAGGGGCATTTTACTGTGGTGGTCAGTCACGTGGCTGCTGTAGGGACCAGGCCCGGTGGTCACACTCACAGAACGGCAAGGGTCTGCCCGCGGGAAAATGCGCGTCTGTGTGGCCCCAGGATGAAGGTGGGTGTGTGCGAAACTGCGGTGAGGTCCCAGGGCTTCCTGGTGGTGCAGTCCAGGGTGCTGCCCTACCGCAGGCCCGGCGAGCGGCTGGGTGGCCTTGTGTCACGGAGCCGGGCAGTGAGACAGGGAGCACGCCGGGGGAGGGACAGCCCCTCATGGCTCCGGGGGCTCGGCCCGGCTCCGGCTGGAATCGGAGCTTCCAGTTTGCTTCTGTGGGTTTTTGGACTCTGTCCTGAGGCTTACGTGGAGCGTGGGGTCCGGCACCCCGTGGAAGTCTCCTTTGTGTCCACAGAGGTGGCAGCGAGGTGCCAGGCCAGCTGAGATCCGTGTCCTCTCACCACGCGCTCTGGCCACAAACGTGGGGCTCCCTTGGTCAGCCAGTTCTCTCGTTCTCTGAGCACCCACAGGTCGGGCCTGCTCTGACACCATCCACCTGGAACAGCGCGTCCCTAGCGAGCCACACTTCTGTTGGACTTGGCTACAAGTCAGGGGTTCCCGTGAGCCCTTCTCAGGTTGGATGATTTGCGAGAACAGCTCGCACCTCTCAGGGGAACGCTTACTTACGTTGACCAGTTTATTCGGAAGGGTACAACAAAGGATACAGTTGAACAGCCAGACAGAAACATAGGGTGGGACCTGGGAGGGTCCCGAGCTCAGGTACTTCTGTCCCCGCAGAGCTGGGGCACCCCCCCCCCAGCAGGTGGGTGTGTTCCCCACCTGGAAGCTCTCTGAACCCCGTGGTTTAGGCATTTTTGTGGAGGCTTCGTCCCGTGGGCACGGTCAGTGCCTCAGTCTCCAGCCCCTCTTGTCCCTGGAGGATGGGGTGTGGCTGAAAGTCCAGCTTCTGGTCGTCGGGGGTCTTCCTAGAGACCAGCCCCATCTGGGAGCCCACCCAGAGTTGCCACATTAGGACGAAAGACCCTCCTATCACTCAGGGGCTCCCGAGGGATTTAGGGGCTGTGTGTCAGGAGCCAGGAGCACAACCCGTGGGGATTTCTTCTGGTGTCAGCCCTGCTCCTGCAGGCAGATCTCTTCTTCTGGTAATGGCTTTAGTGAGACGTGATCCACATGCCGGAAACTCACCTGTTGCAAGTGGACAGTCCGCTGGTTTCCAGCACATTCACAGGCTTGCACAGCCAGCACCAGCGTCTGGTTCCGAAGCTCGACCATCACCCACTCCAGCCCGGGGACCTGGAGCCCAGGGGCCCTTCCTCCAGCCCCCAGCGGCCACTCATCCGCTGTCCCCTTTGTGCCTTTAGTGGCTCTGGACATCAGGCGGTGACCCGTCGTGACCTTGGAGTCTGGCTTCTTTCTGCCCAGGAAGTTAGCGTGTGTTCGCTGGCCTTGGGTGTTGGTGGACTCGTGTGGTGTGTGCCGTTCGCTGATTTTGGCCTGGCTGCTTTTATCTGCAAAATTATCGTGAGAGTCAGCCGCGTCTCTGCGCATGCCAGTGGTCCCTCACGCCTCGGCGCCAAGGGCTTCCCACTGGGTGGGGGCACCGGCTTGTTCTGCCTTCTGCTGAGCGACGTCTGGGCTGTTTCCAGTTGGGTGTTTCCGGATTTGCATCTTGCTCGTGAACCAGCGGCACGCTGAGCATCTTTTCGTGTGCCCGTTTCCCTTCCTTGGCTGGGTGTGTGTTCACATCCTTCTCTTCTCTCGGTGGGGTTTTTGTCCCGTGTTGGAGTTGTAGGAATTCTCCGTGTTCCAGGTAGGAGCGCTCCGTCAGGTGTGCATCTCCCAGACGGTTTCTCCCAGTCTCGTTGGCCTTTCATTTCTGGACCGGTGTTTCTAGAGGAACAAACGTGTTTGATTTTAGCGAAGTCCAATTGATTGATTTTTTCCTTCACGGGTTTTTATCACTATTGTGATCCTGGCTGTGATTTTTATCTTTGCTTTTGTCTCCATTTGCTTTGTTCTCGGTGTGCTCCTGCTGATTCATCCGCAGACCCTTGGACACGGTCCTGGTTAGTCCAGCTGTTTCTTCCCCTTGGGAGCGCGCCCCCCCAGCCCCATCTTACCACTCGCTCGGACCCCTCCCGCCCGCACCCCCCTGGGCACCAGGCGTCCCTTTCCCAGTCCCAGGACTGTGTGCTCTGGGTCCTGTTTCTCCCTCAGTTGGGGGATGCTCGGTGCGTACGTGGGGAAGTACCTGAGCCCTCATCTGCATCTGTGTCTCTACTTGGTGAAAGGCTACGCTGACTTAGAACTGCAGGTGGAGGGCGCCTGGGTGGCTCAGTGGTTAAGCGACTGCCTTTGGCTCAGGTCATGATCCTGGAGTCCCGGGATCGAGTCCCGCATCGGGCTCCCTGCTCGGCGGGGAGTCTGCTTCTCCCTCTGACCCTCCCCCGTCTCATGTACTCGCTCTCTCTCATTCTCTCTCTCTCAAATAAATAAATAAAATCTTAAAAAAAAAAAAAAGAACTGCAGGTGGGATGCGGTCTTGCCTCTGGGTCCTGTGACTCCCAGCGTTGCTCTGTTGCTTTCTTCGATGCAGGGTATTAGTTTAGGGTGAGCGTTTTGTGTTTCTTCTCCTCGAAGCGTTTGAGGTCTTCGTTCTTGGGGTGTTGCAGACCTCCCGACCCCGGGCCTGTGTGTGTGTTGTGGGGAGGGTGCAGGCGGGGCTGGAGATCACAGCATCCCCGAGGGGTGGATAAGGTGTGCGGCCTCCGGGGCCACGGGTGGGTGACCAGGGGTTGCCGTTGAGCTGCAACCCGGGAGCAGAGGACAGGAGCAGGGGACGCACACACAAGTGCAAGGGGGCACAGATGAGGCTGCTGGGGGCTTGGAAGAGGCGGGGCTCTGGGAGGGTGGATTTGTACCTTAGGAGGATGCCCCCGTACGGTCCCCCACAGCGAGTGCACATGCTGGCTGCTGTAGAACGTTCCACAAACACCGTGAATGCCGTGTTTCTCTGTTCTCTCTTCGGCAGTTGGGTTATTCTGAGTGGGTTTTGCCGCTCTGAACGAATACGTCCACAGGACCTTGATGCCGAGCCCTGCCCCACGGTGACTTCCACGGCTGCCCTGCTAGGCCACCTCAGACGTGGCGCCAGGGCTGCCGGGCAGGCGGCCCCGGCGCTCCCTGCTGTCGTCCTGTCGTCCTGTCATCCTCCGGGACGGGAGTGAGTCCGTGGGCTTGTGCCCGGCTTGGGCGGGTTCTGTGAGTCTTGGCTCCACTCTGAGTGACGCTCGGCACAGCCGTGTTCTCTCTTCACGCTCTCGTGCCACGTCTGCGTGGGCAGGACCCCCCCAGGCCACCCTGACCCCTGGGCAGACACTGCAGCTACCAGCCACTTTGGCCAGCCCGGCCCTGGGCTTGGGGAGGCACAAGTCATGCCTCTCAGACCCCAAGAGGCAGTTATTTTCATTTGGTATAATTTGGGGCGTCCGAGGTGCCGACGTACCAGGGGCAGATGATGCCGCCAGAGGCCACCCGCCCTGGGCTGTCCCACACGGTGACCTGCTGAGAGAGGCGAGGTCTTCCGGGCCCGTCTGAGCCTCTTGCCTCTGCTCCCTGCCTTGAGGCCCAGGTGGAAATTTCACATTTGGGATCCTTTGTTCTTGGCTAAGTATGGACAGGTTGGGGTTCGGTGGCACATTTTGGCCACTGTCCCCATGGAACAACGTCATCGGGGTTTTAGGTGTCGAGGTCACCCACTGAGATGCTTCGTCCTGGTCCCTCAGTTCCTTGGTCCCATCAGTCAGCGGGTAGCCAGGGGCATCGGGGCATCGGTATGGGCTCCCCTCCCCTCCCCTCCCTTCAGGCTGGTCA